CCGCCTCGCCCTGCCTCCTCACGCCCCGCCCTTGCCCGCCTTGTCTCGCCACGTCTCGTTGGCCGTTGGTGAAGGCGCCGCTGCTTGCTCCGTCCGGTCTCCCTCCCTCCCCTTTGTCCCCCTCACTGCATGTGCTGGTTCGTCTATTTTCTTCTTAGTATCGGAGGTATTCTTCGCTTTCTCACGTTGTGGGATCAAGAATGTTCTTTAAGTTTGTAACCTCGTCTATGTTATATAGACGGCAAATACGTGTTCCTTTTAAGAATAAAGTCAGTCTACTGAACCCTGATACGAAAAAAAATCTCAAGGTATCACAATGCCTGGATATATGAAATCCCTTCCGCAGCATTCGCCAACTGAAATTTTATTTATGTCCAAATATTCCGTAACTTTATTTCTACTCTTCATATCGGGCTCATGGTCAGGTTCCAGTATCATGTGAAGACATGAGTGTGTTTATCATAGGTAATATGAGAGCTTTGGTAATTGTCGATAAATTCCCAACTAGCGAAGCATGCAAGGGATTTATCTGAGAATTTCCAAAAGTACCAGTGGTATTTAGTAGGATTTTTCAACTAATGAAATTATATCCAACAGAGTTCCAAAGTACGACAAATATTGAAAATAACTGAAAGCCATGTTAGAATCAAAATTGTTATAGTATATACCTGATTTATTGGACATCGATATAGCGATCGATGTAGACCGCCTCCTTATATAGATGAGTCACAGTTTCTGATTGGCCAGTAGCGAGAAGGAGTAAGAAAATCTGATAGAAAAAGCAATAAATGTTTTCAGATACACCACCCTGATTGGGGCATTTTAAATGTTCCGTCAAAACCTATTGTTTCAATTTCTCGAGTGAATAATCCTCGTTAACTGTTAGTCTTTCATTTATGTTTTCTGCATTACGCAGTGTCTGGACTATTGACGTTATTTAACAACATAGTTTTGCCGAACGAATTAAAATAATGTTCATAGTTGGAATGCGTGTTGACGCGTGTTAGAAATGGGTGACTGGAGAATTATAAGAGGAATGGTTTTAAAATTTTTCGCTTGCTGCAGCGGTTGCGTTTTGTAAATTTTAAGTCTCCAACCTTGCGAGACCCACCATGTTGACGACCGAAAACGGCGAGTGGGGATGCATTAGGCGCGACTTTTCACCTTCCGCGTCCGACGGCGCGCGCGCCCATAACAACGAGCACCATAACAGTTGGCTCGCAGACAGACGCTGTCGCCTACCAGCTGCTGCCACCGAGTGCTTCAGGCCATGTGGTAGTGTGTGAACTATAAGTAGCAGTATGCAATGCGTTGCTTTTTAGTAACATTATTTTGATATTAATTTTATCAACTTGAACTGCTAAATGTAAAGAGTACAGGGTCATATTTGGCATCCACCCCTTTAGGGGATCCCATTACAATCGCCACCTCAGTCTTAGGGTTTCTGGGATCGTTAGAAAGTCCAACTACGGTAATTATTGTTTTCATGGTGGCTATGTTACAATAATTGAAGGTGATTTCCTACGCCATCTGTACCCATTTAACTTTAGTAAGTTTATTCTAGGATTTTTATTATAGGTAAAGCTTTTTTTTATATTTTGATATGTTATTAATACAAAAACGAGGTATTCATATCAATTGTTGCGTATCAAAATTGTCAACATTTTGAAAACACTCATATCTTTTTTCAGAATTTTAGTCAGGAAAAAGAGGAGGGTTCTTGAAATATTGGTAATGTTGATTTGAAACATAATTATGTATACCACAATAAATACATCAAACAAAAATCATTAAACTAATAAAATATTTTGAACGAATATTGAACTTCATCAGTTACAAGAATTCAGCATATTTGGCACGTTTCGCTCTTTCACTTTCTTGGTGGACATGTTTCGCTAAATTTGGATAGGAGTCTCACAACAAAGATGTCGAACAGAAACAACTGTCGGCTTATCTGTGTTTTTAAGAAAGAAGGGGACATATTTGCGCAATAGCGAGTATTTCTATATTACAATACCCTCAATCGTAAACCATTTACCCACTTTTGAACATGTGCGCTTGTCCGAACTCCAGACACGATAGAGCTATATTGGAAGACGATGCTCAGCAACATTCCAAGAGAAATCGCGTAACTTCTATCGTGTACGATACATTGAATGATTCATCATGTTGGTGGTCGGTTAAAGTCCAACTACTAATGAAGATTGTGAAATAATCATCTGGAAGCTGTTTTGTACTTGGGATACATCCGTGAGCCTTGAACATTCCTTCATTCCCGTGATTCATAACTTCGCCTACTACGTTTGAGGCTTCACATATTGAAAGGGTGTTTCGCCCCCACCAATAATAGTTACGTATTTGCCGGCGTCTAAGTGGTTTGAATGAGTCATTTATACAAGGATGCGGGAGATAGTACTTTCCTTCAATTTTGTTTTGCTTGCTTTCTTCCACTTAACCAGTCAATGAGAGATTCGAGGTAAATGCACTACTCCATTAATGCTGATTTCACAAATCGTGTTAATTACTAATATTAAATATTACAGTCTGTATTTATTGCTCTGAAATTCTCTCACATCACATGTAATTTTTTCAGTTTCAGAATGCTTTATGATTCGCCAAGACCCTTTGTTTTGGGAGGGGAAAACTACGCATATTAACGAATTGCTTGCGGTGTCAATTGTATTCAGTGACAATATGGCGTGTTTTTATCCACGTGACTCTGATAAATAGTTATTATTCCCTACGTGTACTGATGTAGTGTATTATCTGAGAAGTAATGAACTGTCCACACGATGAGCGCCTGTCAGAACGTTATTTCTGTTATATAATCTGTGGGAGTATACAGCCACCATCATTTCTCAAAAAACTATCATTCGTTTTTATTATGCCTTTCAATGAAGTTTTCTGATACCATCGTTCTGTCGGCTAATGGTTAAGAAATATGCTTCTTACGGTACCCGGCGAAACCCCGGCTGTACCCCTATGGTACGACGGCGGCGATGGTGTACTGGTTAGCGTGTCGGACTGTTATACCCAAGCTGGCGGGTTCAAACCCGATCGACGCCGTGGATTTTTAAGGGCGAAAAAAATCCTTCGTACGCCTTCCTTGGAGGGGAAGTAAAGCCGGCTCTCCCATGTTAGTAGATTTACTTGTATGTAAAGATCCTCAAACTTAAATGACGCCTCTAAGCTAAATTCAAAATCGCCTTTTTCTCGCCCAAAACTGTCTCCTTTCTCCGTATTTGGTGAAAGGAGCGTAGCGAAATTTGCGTGTCAGAGCAAAGAGCGGGGCTGATGGTCTGAGTCTCGCCACGTAAAATAAAGGCATTAATCAATTCAATACTCAATATTCAAATACACGTATCAGGGAACGACGCAACAGAAAATGACAGTTTTAGCCGACCTCTTTAATCCAAAATTTTATGCCCGGGAGGTCATGAATTGATCACATCGCCGAAGTAAGATATCTACTGTTTTGCACGACCGCCTGGACAAATTCAAATTTGAAGGACACGATTTTTTCTTCAGTTCTTTTTAAGTAGATAGAGAGGACGTTTACACTTACTAGACTAATTTATGTTTTGTGATGTCTTATTTGTAGTGCCTCTGACCTTGGTTTGTGACGGTGTTGACGTTGCCTGGGGGTACCGTACGTTCGTTTTCTATCTGGATGGAACCCGAAATTGCATAACAGGACCGGTTTCATCTGACCTCCATGTATATATAACTTTCACTTGCAGAAATGAATAAACTTGTTCATTTCTTTATTTTACTTCTAAATGAGTATCTCCCAATTATTTCACTGAGAGGCAAGCTGTATCCAGTAGTTACGGCAAAAATATCTTCTGCAAGTTTCTCTTCCTTTTGGCGCTGGGGAGGGCGATTTAAAGCCAAAGGATTTACTGATAGTCATCATGAATATACTTAATCACGCGTGCGAATATCGTAGGCAGAGATATCGAAGTGACTTTATGCAGGCAAGTGGAGGAAGTTTTGCACAGAGATTCCAGACACTTTCTATGTACATTACAATGATTCATGAAGTGAGAGCCTCTCATTTTCAAACAAAATTCAAACTAACAAAATTCTTAAACACTTGCAATTTTAACGACCTTCTTCCCTGATGTAATATAAGTTTTGTCTCTTTTTGAGCACGGGATAATTTGCTGCGTTTCGCATTCTTTAACACCTGTATCAGAATTATGGCAATGTGTGGAGTAGTTCATAATGTTACTTCCGCAACAGCTAAACTCTTATATATTTTTTTCAATAAGTAGCTATTGCTTTTATGGAGCTCTCGGTAAGATTTTGACTTATGTCGTAATACATGATACACTCGTACAGTGGGTGACAAGCGCTGACTTATTCGTCCGTAAGACATAATAAATCTTTTTGAAACTCACAAACTAGTAAGTTCCAATTATTGTTTGTGTTTTTTTTAAAAATCCTGTCATTGATTGTCACGTTGGGCATTTTTGCCAAACCTTCATTGTAAAGATACAATACAAAACTTACAAATTGCAATAAAATGTTACCACGGAGTTATAAAATTTGTAATAATGTGATGAAATGTGATGATAGAGTGATTTATAAATTAAAAAATGTAAAGTTACATATAATTCAATATAAGGATTAAAATTGATACTGCCCTTGATGTCAGGAGGGGTGAGGTGCAGCGCGCTGGGCTACTCACCAGGGATGGACTTGCCGAGCTCTAGATAGGCGCGCACGGAGGGGCTGAGGAAGCCCGGCGGCACGGAGGCCTCTGGGCGCGCCACGGCGCGGTCCACGTCGCCGCCCTCGCCTTCGCCCCCGCCGCCCGCCGAGCGCACCTCCGCCCGCGCCGTCTCGGGCGACGGCGTGTT